CCTCAGCCTTCCAAGTAGCTGAAACTACAGCCGCGTGCTACCACGCCTGGCTAATTTTTGATTTATTGTGGAGATGAGGTCTCTCCAAGTTGCCCAGGCATATCTCGAACCTGTGGGCTCAGGCAGTTCACTCACGTCAACCTCCCAAAGTGCGGGATTACAGGCTGAGCCACTGAGCCCGGCTGGCAAACTTTTTCTTAAAGCTTCAGATAGTTAATATTTTAGACTTTGGGTCTCTGTTGTAACTATGGTCATGCATCACTTAATGATGGAGATTTGTTTTGAGAAATATCAGGTAATTTTTTTATTGTGCAAACATCATAGAGTGTACTTACAGAGACCTAGATGATATAGCCTTCTACTCACCTGGACTATATGGCATAGCCTATTGAGCTCAGGCTACAAATCTGCACAGCCTGTTACTGCACTGAATACTTAGGTAGTTGTAACACAATGGTGTGTATTTGTGTATCTAAACATAGAAAAGGTAAAGTAAAAATGTAGTATTATAATTTTATGGAACCACTGTGGTATATGCGGTCTGTCATTGATCAAAACATTGTTATTCAGCATATGACTGTTCAGTTTTGCCTTTGTAGCTGACGACATCTGCCATTTGTAGCTCGAAAGCAACTGTAGATGATATGTAAGCAAATAGGTGTGACTGTGTTCCGATACAGCTTTTTTATAAAAACAGGTAGCTGGCTTGACCATTGGCCCCTGTTCTAGGAACAAAACATCCCTAGCTGATGAACAGTGACCTAAATTGAGTGTGGTTTACATGATTATAACAAATTGCCTTCCTTTTATTGTCTTGGATGAGTTATTTTTTCCTTGTGACTGTTTATCTGGATTACTAGCTTTCCTCCCCTGGGCTTTGAAATTGTGCACTGGTTAGCTGCTGGGAAGAAATTATCCAAAGAACCACTTAGTACAGTTAAAGGAAGTGAGTCAGACAAAGATAAATGCAGAATGTAATTCATTTTTTCCTTTCTTTTTTGTCTTCAAACTAGGATTCTGCATGTTTGTACTGAGTTTGGTCAAGAAGCATTATCGACTACAGTTCTACATGGTAGGGGAAATGTCATGTGTGTGTCAGAATTACTGGTTTAAATGAAATTCTGCAGAAACTCAACAGAACTTTCTGTGACAAGTCAAAACTCTGGAATGCAGTCTGTTCTGTATGCATGAAGAACATGAAGGAGGGGTGCCCATTTATATTTGGTGGCTCTGCGTTAATATAGATCCAGTCACTTGTTACTTAATGAGCAGTCTCTCTACTAGGACCCTTTGGGTGGGTTACAGGTCAGACTCAAGCTGAAGCTTCAGACATGGTCCACAGATGTCCTGTCTGGGACATCACTTAGTACCAATCATTCCTTGTAGCAACTTGAGAACATCTCCTTTCTGAGTGCCCTGAGTGCTCAGTAAACACTAAGGAAATAGAGCACAGAAGGGCTCACTCAGTAGTGGGCCATGTGGTCCCCCTGTTTGATGGGGACTTTGATTGGGGGGGGGACACAGTGACCTGTTCTGTACCTTTTCACTTCCAATAAGTCAGATACAAAAGCAGATATTTTTCCTGTTCCTCAGCAGTTTTCTATTTGGTATTAATTCTTTGAAGTTACTTTCGAGGTAAACTGATAGTGTTTATTTTTCTTCTTGTGCAGTTTGGCTGGACCCATGTGACGCTACTGATTGTTGTAACGCAGTCACATCTTGTTATCCACAACTTGTTTGAAGGGATGATCTGGTGAGTGATGTTAGTGGTAGGAGTTTCCCTTTTATTTTGTGGATGTTTTTGATGTATAGGTAGGCTAAGAACCCCTGCCTTACCTTCCAGACAAGTGGTTCTCATGTTGAGCTGCATCATACTCACCTGCAGGGCCAGTTACTACAGATGCTGGATCCTGGGTTTCTAATTCAGGAGATCTGGAATAGGGCCTGAGAATTTGAGTTTCCAGTACATTCACAGGTGATACTGATGTTTCTGGACAGGACCCACACCCTGAGAACCACTGTTCTAGACTAGTAGGTACAGGGATGTTTAAAGCCTCAAAGGCATTGCAAAATGTATGGCAACAAATTTGAAAACTTGGAAGAAGTAGTCATGATTTCCTGACAAAATGTATACTAAAAGTCATGAAGAATAAAATTTGAATTGATCAATATCTATAAGAGAACTTAAGATTACTTAAGATTTCATACTTGGAAAAAGAAATAGGACCAAATGGGTTAACAGCTGACTTTTTAGCTAATCTTCATTCCAAAGCTGGTAAAAGAGGGAAAAACAGGAATTATAAATCAATCTCTTCTTAAAAAAATTATATTAACTTTTTATATATATATATTTTTAATAAATAGAGATGGGGGGGTGAGTCTCATTATGTTGTCCAGGCTGGTTTCAAACTTCTAGTCTCAAGCAATCCTCCTGCCTTGGCCTCCCAAAGTGCTGGAATTTCAGGCATGAGCCACTGCACCCAGCCTTGGGTGGATCTAGCATCTTTTATGACTATAGATAAACCGTTCTAAATAAAATGTTAGCAAATAGAGTCTGACAATGTGTCAAAGAATAATATGCTTGTACTGAGTAGATTTTATACCAGATATGTAGTGGTTTCAACAGGAAATCTATGAGCACTGATAGAAATCAGCAGGTCAACTAAAGAAGCTAGATGATCTTAGAAGAAAAGTAAAGGCATATCCTAGTGTGTATAAGAGATAGGTTCTTTTTTTTGTTTGAATTGGAGTCTCACTCTGTCGCCCAGACTGGAGTGCAGTAGCTGCTTCCGGCCACCGCAGCCTCGACCTGCTGGGCTCCGGCAATCCTTTCACCTCAGCCTTCCAAGTAGCCGGAATTACAGGCATGTGCTACCACGCCCGGCTGATTTTTTGATTTATTGTAGAGATGAGGTCTCGCTGCCCAGGCGGGTCTCGAACCCGCGGGCTCAGACAATCCACTCACCTCAGCCTCCCAAAGGCGCGGGATTACAGGCTGAGCCACTGAGCCCGGCTAGAGATAGGTTCTTAAATATTGTGGTTAAGACCTCAGACTTGGCTGGGTGCAGTGGTTCATGCTTATAATCCCAGCACTTTCGGAGGCCGAGGCGGGAGGATTGCTTGAGCCCAAGAGTTCAAGACCAACTTGGGCAACATAGCGAGACCTCATGTCTATTAAAAAATTTTAAAAAATAGCTATGTGGTGGCATACACCTGTGGTCCCAGCTACTTGGAAGACTAAGGTGGAAAGATCAAGACTGTGGGGAGCCATGATTATGCCACTACACTCCAGCCTGGGTGACAGAGTGAGACCTAGACTTAAGAAAACAAATAAAAAATCCCAGATTATGGCTCTATTTCCGGATCTCAGAGTTAAGATACAGTGTAATTTAACCTTCCTCCTAAGGAATAAATTAGTAAATATACGTGAAGTGCTTAGAACTGGGACTAGCTCATGGTAGCCTTAGGCATCATTACATTTAAAATAGTTATAACCTGGGGAGACAAGTAACTCTTCTTTCAGTGTTTTTATTAGATGTTTCTTAAAAGTAGCATACGTTAAGTCTTCATCTTCAGGGCTGAACATACCACTTGGTTCTGCAGTGAATAGTATTAAAATCTCCATAATTGTTGGTTTTCAGATTCAACCTAGAAGACGTAATTATAGTTATAGAGCAGCAATTGTGTGCTAGGGGCCTTGATACAGTAACTCATGTTGTGGGCTTTGGGGTGAATGGAGTAGGGAGGGTATAGATGCTTTAATTCCTTCTCCTAACAAACAAGAAGTCAGAAAATACTGCCTATAATCAATGGGCCAGGAAACAGAGGATTGTGTTTATGATATTATGTTAAACCTAATAGAAGAGCTTACAAGTGTTAGAGAGTGAAAAGTGAGGGAGGTCGTGCAAGTGTAGAAACTGTCTCCTTTTTCATGATCAGGGAATGATCAGATCTGCAGGGGAAGGGGCAGAGAAGAAATCTAGCAGTGTATTTGGAGGTTTTGCTCTCAGTGTAGTCCTTGGGAAAATAAACAGTGAATAAGTAAATTATGAAACAGACATAAAATATTTAATTAATTTTTTTGAGTCAGAGTCTTACTCTGTCACTCAGGCTGGAGCACAGTGGCACAATCATGGCTATTACAGCCTTGACCTGCTGGGCTAAGGTGAGCCTTCCAAGTAACTGGGACTACAGGTTTGTGCCACCACACCCAGTTAATTTTTTTTTTTTAATTGTAGAAATGAAGTCTCTCCATGTTACCCAGGCTTATCTCAAACTCCTGGGCTCAGGCAATCCTCTTACTTCAACCTCCCAAAGTGCTGGGATTGCAGGGATGAGCCACTGTGCCCAGCCATTATATGTTATTTAGAATTATGATGATAACCAGTAGAAGAAGAAAAATTAGAGACTATTAAAAGTGATTATTTTGGGGAATGGAGATAAGGATGAGGAAAAGAACGAAAATTTACAATTAAATTCATATGCTTGTGCACATATATTACTGTATCATGAAAAACCAAATGACATTTTACAAATTGCCACCTTTATTTATTCAGTAATCATTCAGTAGCATTTGAATGTCTGCTGTGTGCCAGATACTAGTTATGGCCTTCCTGTTATTTTCTTTCTTTTTAACTTATTCCTTAATGGGTTACAAGTACAGTATGTTTTAGGCTGTTTTGGTACTAGAATTATGAATGCATTGTTTTGTGGACTCTGTCAAACATCATCATGGTTGAGTTGATCCTCACTTGATTTCTCTTCTAGGTTCATTGTCCCCATTTCTTGTGTGATCTGTAATGACATCATGGCCTATATGTTTGGCTTTTTCTTTGGTCGGACCCCTCTCATCAAGGTAAATGGATGATCCTAATATGAAATACCACCATGAGGAGAGGGTAGGTTGGCCTGGAAGACAGAAGCCATTTAGTAGTGTGTATTGTGGCTGTCTTTAAGTCATCCTGGGAAAAGACTGGTAATGAAGACAACTCTTAAAAAAAAAAGAGCTAATAAAATAATTTTACAGACTGTATAGGCACACTTTTGGGACTTTGATCTGGATTTGAGTGTTGCCACTTAATTAGTGTATAGCTTTATAATATAATAAAAATATTTGAATGACTGTAATAGAAAGGAGACCAAAATGGGATTATAAAGCAGGGAACAAGGAAACCATGTTTGGGTGAATTTTAGAAGGTAACATGCTTAGCAGAATGGGGGTTTTTTGACGGAAAAGTTCTGAACAAGTGATCGTTGTTTCCAAAGCTGTAGTTTTTAAAATGCCTTTGCTAAGAACTTATTCTTTGTCCACAGCTCTCCCCCAAGAAGACCTGGGAAGGCTTTATTGGGGGCTTCTTTGCTACTGTGGTGTTTGGCCTTCTGGTAGGTGGTGGCTTCAGACTGAGTGGGGGAGGAGATGGATAGAGGCCTCTCACCACCTTCCACAGCCTGTCCAGGGCTAGAGAGCATCTCCTGAGGCCAGGACCACTCTCTTGCTGAATGGGGTACCTTGCTCTGAAGAGGAGCATGGGCACCTAGGCCGTCCTTTAGCCCCCAGCTTTCCAGCAGGATCTTGGCATTTGGGAAGTATGGCCGTGTATGCCTTGTATACCCTCTTGTGCTCGGGCACAGTGACATCAGCAGGCAGTGTTCTAGTCAGGTGTTTGATGTTCCAAGGTCAGGGTGAGGGCACCCGAGGTGAGATGAGATGTGCCACTTCAATCCAGGTTTTCTCCTACATGTGCCCTGCCTAGAGGTGGGCAGTCCTTTCCTGCCTTTTCAAGAGCACCATTTCCTGCTTCTGCCCCTCAGGATGGTCTCCCTTCATCAGTGGCCCTCGGTCCTCACTGCCCCCAGCTTTGTTACTCTCTAGCCTCCTTCCTCCTGGGATCTGCCCCATCCATGACTTTTCTCCAGTTATTACTAAGTTAAGAAGACCCAAGGAGAGTGAACCCTAGCCCCTGACATGGGGGACTCTTCTTGTAATCCCCCCCCCTTTTCCTTGTAATTCTTTGCCCCAGTTCCTTCAGGTCTTTTCTGGATTCTTTCAGGGCTTGGGTGTCCATGTATGAGATCTGAGTGGGTTGTGAACGTATTTTTTTAAAAATTCAGGTAAAATACACATGTGGCGAAACATGAACCTCTGAGCACTTAGCTTGCAGTTAGCAGAGTGCTAGGCACTGTGAGAAACATGGCCAAACCAGGTGCCTGCGTCTAGGCTGGATGGCTGGAAACTGTCTGTCTGTTCTTCCTCCTCAGCTGTCCTATGTGATGTCTGGCTACAGATGCTTCATCTGCCCTGTGGAGTACAACAATGACACCAACAGCTTCACTGTGGATTGTGAACCTTCGGACCTGTTTCGCCTGCAGGAGTACAACATTCCTGGGGTGATCCAGTCCATCATAGGCTGGGTATGTGCCATTCACATGGGGCGAACAGCCTTCTGACCTCAGTTGGACAGTGACTACAAATGGAACAGTCCCCCTGCCACTTGCCCACTAGAAAATTTGGCTTCCTTCCTCCCAAAGCTGTAAGCCCCAGGATTGCTCAAGCCAGGACAGGGTGAGGGCGGGAGGAGCCCTGTTGCCTCGTTTTAGATCATGTAGACGGTGGTTCTCCAGGTGTGTTTTCTGGATCCTTGGAGCACCAGGAGATCCTTTTAGAGGGGTCTGTGATGTCATAACTAGACTGTGTCATCTGCCTTTTCCAACGTGTTAACATTTGCGGTGAAACAGTACAAAAGTAGTGGTGGTGAAAACTGCTGGTGCCTTGGCGTGAGTTAAGGCAGTTGATCCTTAGTGCCACATGCTTGCAGTACAAACAGACCAGTAGCTCTCACCAACGTCTTTGATGAAATGTTATTAATGTTATTAAGTCTTGACCCTTGCATGCACACCTTTTTAATACTCTGTCTACTGAAGTGGAAAGTATGTGTAAAACATTTCTGCTACATTCAGAAGTGCAGTACTTACCCAAAGAGAAAGCACGTGTGCAGTTGTTTGAGTTGTGAGCTGAATTAGCTGCTTTTTTCTGGGAATGTAATTTTTACTTGAAAAGAACCAACGAATGACAGTTTTTTGGACTTGAGTATTTGGCAGACATTTTTCTTGAAAATAATGAATGAAATGTGTCACTTTAAGGAAAATGACAGTAATTATTACCAATGATAAAAATTTGGCTTTCAAATGAAAATTATAGTTTTGAAATGTATGAACTGCCACTGTGAGCTCAACAGCCTCCCAAGACTTAAAGGCTTTCTGATGAGATCTGTGGTGATTTTAACATATGACATTTTGATATCATGTAATGGAATGTGTCTACATCTGGAAGATTTACATAACTCAGTGAACCAGTATTTTCTATGGTGTTACACAGTCATGTGCGGGTGAAAGAGCTGTACAAAGTATAAGACAGATCAATAAATTTTAATGTCAGAGTACAAAAAGTCCATCAATAGGATTTCAGATTCCACATTGTACCTAACGATTAAGAAATGACTACCTAGCTGAGCTCGGTGGCTCAGCCTGTAATCCCGCGCTTTGGGAGACTGAGGTGAGTGGATTGCCTGAGTTCATGGGTTCGAGACCTGCCTGGGCAACTTGGCGAGACTTCATCTCTACAATAAATAAAAAAAATCAGCTGGGCATGGTAGTGCGTGTCTGTAATTCCGGCTACTTGGAAGGCTGAGGTGGAAGGATCACTGGAGCCCAGCAGGTCAAGGCTGCAGTGGCCGCACTCCCGGCCACTGCACTGCACTCCACTCTGGGCGACAGAGTGAGACTCTAACTCAAAAAAAAAAAAAAAAAAAGAAATGACTACTTGTCAGGTTCTGGGATAGATAGTGTCAAAGAAGAATGCCCATGGTGATCTGAGAAGACTACTAAAATACTTTTTCTTTTTTCAACTGCAGATCTATGTAAGGCTAGATTTTCTTCATATATTACCACCAAAACAACATATTGCAACAGATTGAAAACAGAATACCTTCATGTCTTCCATTAATAAACTAGAAAGTAGAGATTTACAACAATGGAAAAAATATATAATTAGTTTCTTTTTTTTTTGAGTTGGAGTCTCACTGTCACCCAGACTGGAGTGCAGTGGCCGCTCCTGGCCACCGCAGCCTCGACCTGCTGGGCTCCGGCGATCCTTCTGCCTCAGCCTTCCAAGTAGCCGGAATTACAGGCATGCGCTACCACGCCCGGCTGATTTTTTGATTTATTGTAGAGATGAGGTCTCGCTGCCCAGGCGAGTCTCGAACCCGCGGGCTCAGGCAATCCACTCACCTCAGCCTCCCAAAGGCGTGGGATTACAGGCTGAGCCACCGAGCCCGGCTTATAATTAGTTTCATAAAGAGTTATTTCTGTTGACGTGTAATAAGGCTGGGTGGTGGTTCATTTAGTGGTTGATATAACAGAATACTTGGGCTGACCACTGTGGCTCACACCTGTAATCCTTTGGGAGGGTGAGGCAGGAGGACTGCCTGAGCCCCAGAGTTTGAGACCAACCTGGGCAACATAGTGAGACCTCGTCTCTACAAAAAACTAGCCAGGTGTGATGGCATATGCCTGTAGTCACAGCTACTCTGGAGGCTGTGGTGGAAGGATTACCTAAACCCAGGACGTTGAGGCTGCAGTGAGTTGTGATTGTGCCACTGCACTCTACCCTGAGTGACAGAGTGAGACCTAGACTCAAAAAATAAAATAAAATAACAGACTACCCAAAGCAGGTAATTTATATAGAAAAAATGTTTGTTTAGCTCATGGTTCTGCAGGCTGGGAAGTACAAGAAGCATGGTGCCAGCTTCTGCCTGGCTTCTGGTGAGAGTTTTTTGTACTGCTTCATATAGCGTGGCAGAGAAAGTCAAAGAACGACATGTGCAAAAAGGTAAAATCCAGGACTGTCCTCACTTTATAACAACACACTTTCACCGGAACATTCCCATGAGAACTGATCTAGTCTCTTGGGAGCAAGGACTCACTCCATGCCATGAGAAAGGCATCAGACCATTCACGAAGGGTCTGCCCTCATGACCCAAACACCTCCTGGTAGGCCCCACCTCTCAAGTCTACTGTACTGGGGATCACATTTCAATGTGAGTTTTGTGGGGACAACTCAAATCATAGCCTGTGTGCACCCTGACTTTTACTTCATTTATTCTTCTCAGAAAATAGTCCGGATGTACCCCTTCCAGATTCACAGCATTGCCCTCTCCACCTTTGCCTCACTCATCGGCCCCTTTGGAGGTTTCTTCGCAAGTGGATTCAAACGGGCCTTTAAGATCAAAGTAGGAAAACTTTCTCCTCGGTTCTTTCATCTCACCCCCTCCTCACCTGTCTTCTTTCTTTCTCCCCCTGCCTCATCCCATCAGTCACAGCCCCCTTCAAAATACCAGGCTATCTACCCTGGTGATTAATGTGTGCTCTTGACCCATGCATTGAATTTAGGTGGGTTAACTACAAAATATGTTGCTTCCAAGAAAATGCAATTGCTAGTTTTCAGTTTATTTGTTAACATATCTTTCTTCAAAAGAATCTTTTGTAATTTAATAAAATTGTGTCCTAATATAGCCTTGCCATTAGATTCAATATTTCTAATATTCTGTTTCCCCCAGCTACTCAGGACAGTAGCCAGACATTGGGGTGGGACTGTTAGGCTGGGATTTAGTCATTGATTGAGCCCAGCATCACCCATCCTTCTCTTGCCTCTAATAGGACTTTGCTAATACCATTCCTGGCCACGGAGGCATTATGGATCGCTTTGACTGCCAGTATCTGATGGCTACCTTTGTCAATGTGTACATCGCCAGTTTCATCAGGTATGGTACCTTTCCATGTGAACCAAGCTGGTAGATTTTTAAATATGCGGCAAATCTAAAATTTTGGCTGCATCCAAGTACCAGCGAAAAGCATCCCAATATGCATACAGCCTTCAGTTGTTACTGCTTACAGGTTTTCTGAGGCCCTCTTCCTGCTCTTTGTTAGTGGAGAATCCAGACACCAGAGCACCACTTGGATAATCAGCCCTGGAAGCTTCCAGGACCCAGCTCAGTGCTGTTTCTTCACATTCTTTTCCAGGGGTCCTAACCCAAGCAAACTGATTCAGCAGTTCCTGACCTTGCGGCCAGATCAGCAGCTCCACATCTTCAACACACTCAGGTCTCACCTGATCGAGAAGGGGATGCTGACAGCTGCCACGGAGGACGAGTAGGGACCACCCACGGCCAGGAGAGCAGGAGTAGGACTGAGCAAGGGGCAGGTCTCCAAGGCACGCCCAGCTGGTGTGACTTAGACAATGATGAGGCTTCAACTCACTGTTTTTTTTTTTTGGTAGGATGCTTTTTATTTGTGGGTTCAAAAAAATCTGTATATACAGTATATTGTTTGTGATTTGGGTTTTGAGTAAACTTCAGCTTTGAGTTGGAAAGAAGTCATGGCAGTAAAACCATTTGGGTTTTTTAAACAAACAAAAGTGTTTAACAGTCTGGAAGACAGTGTTGCCCAGCTCAGGAGTGTCTGCTTGGTGGTTCCAGCCTTTATCAGTTGTACTGTTTCTGGGCTCAGTCAGACACAGACGTTCATCTGTGTCCAACCAGTTCAGGGGCTCCCCAACCTGTTCTGGGGACACAGCTTGGATGTCTTTTCTGAACTGGAGAGCTTTCACCTAGTGTTTCCTAGCAATCCCTGCTTGGAGCTGTGGGAGGGTTGCCTTCTGTAGGCCAGAAGAATGGAGGCTTATTAATCAGATAAGCATTCTATCCATGTGGACATCTTGCAGAGTGTAAATAAACTCTGCTTTATGATATGGTTTTACCTTCCTTTATCATGAACTGAAAGAAGGTTTCAGTTTTTGTTTTTTTCAGAAAGCACGAAAAATTATTTATAATAGTCTGGAGAAAAACCACACTGTAATATTTCAAGTGTCTGCAGTAGAATGTACTGTACCTGAGCCCTTGCCCCCATGTGTAGGCCGCAGTATCTTCTGTCAGCAGTCCAGCTAACTGTGTCTTTTCAGGGACAATGTCGTTCATGTCTGTGCTGTAGTCTTGCTGCTGCTGAATCCTCCCCGGGGGCTTTCCCATGAGGCAGGGAGCCAAGGGCTTCTCATTCATGCACCCTTTGCCTGAACACCCATGTAGCTGCTGTGTTATGTATATATGACTTTTAAGGGCAGTGTGTGCTATGTGTTTGTTTTAAAAGTCACTTATTTTTTATAGTAATTTCGATTGCACCATGACTTCTTCACTGAAACCACAAAGACCTGCTTAAAACTATGGAAAACGTAACCTGATTAGAAGCTTGACTATTTTGAAGATTAAATGCATACTTTTATATAATGTGACCGGTTTAAATGTAGTTTGTATTTTACTGGGGGACCTTTTTTGTTGTTGTTTGCATCAACTGTGGTATTTTTTTTTTTTTTTTTACCTCCCTATATATAGGGATGAGATTGACTTTGGGAAGATCAATTAGTTCTCGGTCAGGTCAACAAGCAATGGAGTGCGGGAGAGAGAACTTGGTGCCTAAATGTGTTAAGTTATTCCGTGCCATGGTTGTTTTCATTGCCAATGAGGATGTAATGATTTGCTCCAGCACCTTGGTCTAGTGCTGGTTTGTGTTGTTTTGTTTGTAAATTAGCCTCAATACTTCAATGAAAGCTCACTGTTAGCCCAGGTCTCTGAAGCATCCGGCAGAGGGCAGAGCCCTGAAAGTGTGTTTCAGCTCACATGTCACTGCGTGACCTTCCCACATGTGTGCAGGTGGAAGTGACTTCTTTCCTCTGAACCTGTACTTCCATTTTAGCCTTGTGGCTTTTCTTGTTCAGCTCCAAGGTCTCCTTAAAAGCAAGAGTTTCAATCCTGAGTATGTCACTCTCAGGGGCCTCATTTTTGAGCTGTCTTTTAATTCCACTCTTCTGTAATTCTGGCTGAGCAAATTCATGTCGCTAGAGGTTCTTCTGGGAATGTCTAGTGCCACAAAAAGGAAGCATTTTCTGACCTTTTCCACAAGCTTGGCCTCAAGATAAGTCAGTATCTCAGCAACAGATCTGAAGCAGTGAAGGTGATCAGTAACAAAACTGTAGTTTTCAGACTAAAGAATGAAAATCACCAAACTGGAGACAGAAGGGCTCCTCATCCTTTGGCATATGGGGGGAGGGGGGTCCTGAGAGCACGGCTTCTCAGCTGGGGCGTGGCAGCAAAGACCCACTCTTGCATGGGACTGTCTTTGGGATCAGGGAGCTGGGCATTGCAGGCTGGGCCTGCATTCCTTTGTAGAAGTGGTTGCTAATGAAGTCTGGGAAGCTGAAGCTAGGGGCTTGCTAGGGCTGCTAGCAGGGAGGCCAGAGGGTCAGCTTGGGTTTGATTTTCTTCTGATTTTCCCACTTGCCTTCTGGTGAAGTAAGAGGAATTTCCCAGTCAGGTAGCCAGGAGGGCAACGCCACCTTGTGTCCAGATAGCACAGTGTTTCTCTTTCTCCTATTTACAGACAAGATTCCAGAGTCTACTTTTACATTTACCCACACAGATCTTGATGAATGGCATCACTTGCTTTAGACCCACTTTTGTTTTGTCACAAATAAAATGTTATTGAAACTGTGCACCTCCCCTTGTTGTGAATTTGCTGTTTGTTACTTCTGTGTATGGTTTCGTGTTTCCCATTTGTTTATGTGTTCATAAATATTGCCTAGTCCTGGGTTACAGTTTGTTTTGTTTCTCTTTTCATTTGTCTCCCCTGCATTCTCACAACAGCCTCTGAGGTGTCTCAAGTGAGCGTCATCATGAACCCCTCCTCGGGAAGGGAGCTCCCCAGGGTGCCACGGTGGGGCAGATTCACGTCATCCCACATTCCTCCCACAGGACGAGGACTGGGGGTCCTGGCCCGGCTGGCTTTTGTGATCGTGGCATGAATGCACCTGAGGTGCTGTAACTCTCCTTCTCTCCAGCTCAGGGGGCCTGACCTGAGCCAAGTTGGAGCTTGAATTGCTGTTAACTCCTAACTGGTGGCGTGAGGAGTCTGAACAAGGTGGGGGGGCGGTCACAGAAATCAGGGCTGGTGGCCAAAATGAGCCTGGGTGTTCCCCCATGAACTCTACTTGTGATTGCTCACAGGGCAATGGGGCTTTCCCTTTGTGTTGCATGCTGCCTTCTTAACTGCTTTCAGCATCAGAAAAGTACACGTTTATGTCTTACTCCTGAGAATGAAACCCTCTTAGGCAGCTCTCCTTTACATATGTTTATTATTTCTTGCCTGTTCCATATTCTGAGCATTTTAGTAGCTACAGTATTGCTATTAATACTGTACTTTAAAAAAATATTTTCATAGGAGTGAAATACAACCTTTAACCTTATACAAGTAGACTTTAAAACCATTTTTATGAAATAATTTTTTTTCTACTGGGCTTTTATCTTGTAACTTGATCTATATTATGCAAGAGAATCCCAAAAATATATTTTAAGGGAGACGACCCAGACCCTGTGATTTGAGTCTAAGACAGTTGCTAGGTTGGCTGGGACCTGAATCGAGCGGGCCCTTGAGTTGAAATCCTCAAAAGTGGCCCTGCTCCTTATGAAGCCAGCCATGGGTGGGCTTCCAAGGGAGTGGGTTTTCACCACTCTACTACATGTGCTGTGTCACTGCTAAAACCTCTCTCTGTTTGGTGGTATCAGGCACCATCATATTTTGTCTTTCAGAGTAACTCACATCTGGGCCTACTTTCTTGCACACTGTGACTATGTGCTGAGAAGAGGGTGAAGTGGCAAGGGGTGCGATTTCACTTGAAACCAGGGTGCCTGTTCTTCTGAGGCCAGTGTGGGGAGGGAGGCAAAGGGAGGACGTCCAGGTGGCTGTTGATGCATTGCAGAACAGTTGGCCATGGGCACTTGCTTGTGCTTGTCTGAAGCACCTGGCTCTGAAGAGCAGCAGGGACAGCCCATCAGAGACAGGGCTGCTTATTCTCGCTTGTCTTGGTCAAAACAGACTTCCTTTTCCCTTGACTGCCCTCCACACAGTTGCCCAGCTTCCAGTTTTTAAAGAGATGAACAACTTCCACTTCCTGACCAGTTTCCCTTGTTGTGTGGGGCCTTGTGGCACAACCTTTATGTGTGCTGCGGTCTGGACCAAGTGATGACAAAGGATTCTATTTCAGGCCTCTGCCTGGCCTGCCTCCTCTTGGACCTGGACACTCTTTACCCACATCCACTGCAGAAAGTAGTCTTAGCTGCTTTTCCACTTGAATGTGGGCCCACCTTTCCCTTCTTTCAGCCCCCACTTTCAGGTTGGACAACAGTGACCTTACTCACCTGGGCTGTTGGGTGAAGGCTGTCTTCTCACCTAGTCCTGTCCGTTGATTAAGGCTCTCACTTGTTTGTATGGGGACCATGTTTTCCACGGCATGAAGCTCTCTGCTTTGAGGGCAGTGTGGGAGATATACTTAGGATGCTGATGGGCGAGGGGTTTTAGGACACGTGGGTTATGTATGAAAATGGAGGGGGAAGACTCTGTGAAGTCTGGAGTTTTATGGCCAGTGGGCCTCAAATCTGTTGCTGTTTAAAGACCCTGTCCCCTTTCCTCCCCTTTCTCACAAAATGCCAATCTACTGAGACACCTCTATTCTTGAGCCAGTGAGACATTAGCAGTGTGTTTATTAGTAATGATTGCAGTAATATAGTGCTTAATATGTACCAGGCATAGTGCTAAGGGTTTACATGCATTATCCCTTTTAATCCCCAAAACAACCTTTGATTAGGTATTATTATCCCTGTTGATAGATGTGGAAATTGAGGTAGTATGACTGAGGCTGAGAGCAGTGGTTAAGAAGACAGACTCAAAGAGCCCTAGATCTGGGCATGTTCCTAGGCTGCTCTAAGTTTCCATCCCCCACCCTGTAGGGTGTGATAATAGTACCTGTTTCATGGGATGGTTGTAAGGATGTAACGAGATAACACATGTAAGCGTTTAACACAGTGCCTAGCACATAGTAAGCACTCAATAAATGGTAGCTACTTTCATTGAGTTCAGCTGGCAGTTTGACCCACATTGTTGTGATGCCAGAGTCTGGTTCTCAGCCACCACACTGCCATGCCCTGCACGCAGCCTGGTCCTTCTGAGAGAAGTGGGCCAACCATAGCACCCCTCTGCAGTGTCTTAGCACTTTGCTCATCCTTTGGGAGGCCAGCCTGACAAATGGAAAGAGGACATGAGGGTGTTCACAAATCCTGTTCTTAGCGGGAATGGCTTGAATCTTGCCCTGTCCTGTGCCCATGGTCCGGACTGCCCATGGGAAGGAGGCGGCTTCTTCTTGCTGCTTGGTGCCTTTACTCTGGGCAGTGAGGGCCTGCCTGTGACTCTGGACCCATTTCCCTCTCTGGCCAAGGTTCTGTGCCCTCAGCTCAGGAACCTGCCACTGTTCCCTATATGGGTGGACATTTTCAGGGGCCAAGAAGAGTAAGGAAAACAGAAACTTGCTCCACAGGAGGTGACACAAGACCAAAGCCTAAAAGGTAGGTTCACATCCTAACAATGGAACAAGCGTGGGGCCTCATGCTTCATTCCTTCATAGAAGTATTAACGGGATAGAAGTGCGTGGTTCACTGAGGACGGACGGTGTGAGTGTTTCTGTCGGATTCTAGACTAGCAAAGGATCAAATGGATGAGGCACGGAACTGTGTGAAAAGAGTTTCTTTAACTTCATTTTCTGAGTGGAGACCAGGGGAGTTGGGGAGGGGGTGTGTCAGGGGAGGCTTTTTCACCTTGAAGGAATGATGTTGGCTAACGGGACCCGTGGAAGTCTTAAGCCGATGGAGTAATAGCAACTTCGAATTACTGGCTTGATGTGAATTATTTCCTGGGTGTTAGTAGGACCCAGCAGCCCATTGCTCATATTTAAGTGATAGTCTCTGTCCTCCAGTTAGTTAATGAAATAAGGGTAATGCCAGTAATCGGGAGAAGATGGCTGCGGAGGTTTAATAGGCAGCTACTGTGACAGGCTGGTCCTGGTCTTGCCCAGAGGATCTCTCACCCTTTTAGTGAACCAGGCAGCCTTTAATCTGTAGAAAAGCTGCTCACTGAGGCGAGGGCCCTCTGGTCATGAAGTTGAAAATGCCTCCACAGTGGTCTCCCAGGCGCTGGGCAGGGCCTTGCTCCCTGCAGCCTCCAGGAGACCTTCCCTCTATAAAAAGCCCAGAGGCTTAGCCTGCTGGTGACTCTGTCCCAAGTGAAATAGTGTTTGCTGATGCCATCCACATAGCCGGCTCTGTCCCCAGCTGCTGGCATGCTGTTTCATCGGGTCTCTGTACTGGTTTTGTTGGCTTTTCTTGAAGGAGCACCAACATAGAAAAGGGACTGAGAATGTTTTC